TATATATATAAATAATATATTATTATTTTGGAGAACGACTTACGAATAACGAATTTCAATAGCTTCATTTTGTTCGAACTGCTCAACAGTATTTATTTTGTAAAGAAATACAGTGTGGGTCATTAGAATAATTTTTGTTTTATAAGTGATGTCCTTTTAGATGCACCATCAGTTGAATTAGTTACAAAGATCCAGTTAGCAGTCCATGGCTTAATGCGACTTTCTTAGAAACGATTTTAGGAAAATCGCTTAAGGGATATTTTTGACAAAAATTTGTCTATCCCACCTTAATCAGTCATTCAAAACAGCTGTACTTCAAATTTTATCAATTTATGAGTATATTGAGTTTCCGATTCAATTTAAAAATTTGGAAAGCGACTGAAACAAACAATTTCATATTTACAATTGAAAGGGGTCCAATTAATGAACCACTCTGTATATGCAGCTAATATTTAGCAATACTTTTCTAAAGAAATACTGTAAACACTAAAATTTAAAAAAAACCTTACTATTCAATAATAATTTAAATAATTCCAAAGACAAATACATTTGAAAATGTATATTGTTCTATTTAAGAAAAATTCCAAGTGTTAATTGATTTTCTAGATATTACTTAAAAATCATTAGTTTTCTTTTCGCCATTATAGGCACAAGCTAAAAAGCACACGTTATGTATAAAAATGGCCTCAGATTATGGCAAATAATTCTACTAATGATGAATATACTGACATGCTTCAAGTATTTTTTGATTGGAGGAAAAATTGTGCCGCAGCAAGAAGAATGTACAGTCGACGCAAGATAAAGGTTTCCAATCTGAATCGTATTTTGTTTGAAATATGACGGCTTAACCACTTGTCTATATGGGGCGTTCTCATTAGACTCGCGCGGCAATATTTTATTTTAAATTTTAAAGTGACAGATGTCAATTTTGTAGGCAGAAAACCGTGATTTAGTTAGAGATTTCAGAGTGATTTATTAGTAATTTGGATAGTGATAATAGCGATTAGTTGAGTTGTATTTAGTGATTCTGTAGTGTACAGAGTAGCAAGTGTAAATAGTTAAAAAAATGGCTCAACTCTCCCCTCGTCGCAGAAGTCGGGCGATTGCAATGCTGGAAAATGGTTGGTCAGCAAGAGGTGTTGCCAGAGAACTTCATGTGAGTCACACATGTATAAATAAACTCCATCGTAAATGGGAAATTGACCTGTCAGTTGATCGTCGACCAGGAACAGGAATCAACAGAAAAACTACCGAAGATCAAGACAGAGCGTTGGTAGCATACGTGCGAGAAAATCCATTTATCGCCACGCAATAGAGGCAACGGGCTTCCCCGGTTGTAAAAATACATCTACAGCAAGATTAAAAGAACAAGGACTTTTCAATTATACGGCTCCTAGTAAAGAACTTCTAACAGTCCAGCATCGTGAAAGAAGACTTCAATTTGCCAGAAATTACATTCAACAGGGGCAACAGTTTTGGAATAACGTCATATTTTCCGACGAAAAAATATTTCAATCCTCCAATTCTGGAAAAGTTAAAGTCTATCGCCCAAAAAATCAGCGATTTCATCCTAGATATGTCTGCGAAGGAGCTCGTAGTGGTCGCTTTTCTGTGCCTACTTGGGCATGGATATCAGATGCCGGACCCGGAGTAATTTAGAGGATTGAGGGAAATTTAATTAATAAATTTAATAATAGGCCTTCAGTACCGCACTATATTATCCGATATCATGGTACCCTCAGTTTCAGTATTCCACAGGCAATTCATTTTTCAGCACGATAATTCACCAGTGCATACATCAGCTGTAGTTAGGGCATTTATGGAACAAAATAATATAAACGTTCTTCCTTGGCCAGCTAAAAGTCCCGATTTGAACCCGATTGAAAATTTATGTGCTTCTGTAATGCGTCAGTTGCATGAACAGTGAATGAAATATTCCACCAAATAGAGATACGCTCTGGGAACGTATACAAAATATTTGGAACGGTATAGACGTGAATTATATACGACACCTTGTCCAAATGCCAAACTCCATGCCAAACAGATTACAAGCCGTTATTGATTCGGATGGTGGTTGGACAAAATATTAAACTGTTTTGTTTTTCATTGCTTATAAAATGATGTCAAAATAAGTAAATAAGTTCATAACATTATGGGCCCGGCTTCCATTCCCGGATAGATGTAAAATTTAAAAAAATCCTGTTTTTCTAAATATTTTGAAAACGATTTAAAGATATTACACTGGCTTTGGTGTATAGTACAGTGGCAGTGTAATATCTTAAATCGTTTTCGAGATATTTAGAAAAAACCGGATTTTAAATTTCCTTCGACATCTATTTCAGAAAGAAAACATTTCCGGACCCATAATGTCATGAACTTATTTACTTATATTCACTTCCAGAACACGTCCTTAAAATATTTCCCTTTCCTCCCGAAACTGTATAAGTTATAATAAAACTGTAGTTTACAATATTTTTTTATTTTGTTGCCTTCATGACCTACCTACCTACTTTCTACAGAATATGACAAATTCTTATTTCAAAATATTAATTTTCTCAGGGACAAGAAAAATAATGTGGCAAGACAAAATAATTTCAAAATCTGTATATTATTCTCTTTTTATAATGCATATACTAAAGGCCTGCAATTATTTGTTGTGTCGTTACACACGTGCCTTCACAAAAAAAAATATGACACGCCCCTAATTATTGATGCCGCCCAAAATTCCTATTAATAGTCCACCGGCTCGCCCCTTTAAACGTAGTATGCCTTTTAGGTTGGAAACCTTTACCTTGCGTTGAGTGTACATATCACCAGACGCATCCAAATCTACTAGCATGACAGACGCCTACTTAAACATTTCTTATACAAACTTGAATTTCTTAATGGTAACCAGAATGCATTAAAAATAAATATTTTCAATAATCAAAACCGTTGAAAGTGATAAACGCTGCTTAAAATTAATAATAATATATTGTAACGAATTTGAAATGTTAATGTAAAAACTCAGATGAAAATATTGCCTGACCGAACTTAAAGTCGAATAAAAATTTTAATTATTATTAAAGCAACACAAAATTGGTATAAAATTGTTAATATGGAAATTCTGGATATAAAACTAGTAATGAACAATGATATTACATAGTATAAAAATAATTAATAATCTTTTAATTTTATTCTCAAGTATAATATTCTAATAAGAAAAACGAATTTAAACCTAGAGTAACTTATATCAAATGAAAGCTTAAAGTCTATAGATTAATCGCGTATACATATCGCAGGAAGACGAGTAAACTTAAAAAAGGTATCTCAATCCAACATAAACCATAACATAAAAATTTTTCATCAAATGTCAAATTTTATAATAAATGTCACAAATGTCAAAGCTAAAGGTGGCTTTGTAAGAATACCCAGAGATGACCTAAAAAATATAAAATAAAAAATATTTTAGTAAATAATTTATAGGATTGTATATAAAAATAAAAGGACATTTGTTAAAAATGTGTTAGTTATAAGTAGTGATGTGAAAAAGTGTTTGAAAATGACATCCAAAGACTGAAAAATTCTGTGCATGGACCTTAAGCAAAGCTACGGACAGAATAATCAGGAAAGTGGAGAAAAACAAAGAAATGATTGATTGGTTACGGCTTGGGTCTTGCAAGATGTACATCTTGGAGACGCAGCTCCCGGAAAATTAATAATAAAACAAGGAAAGAGTCCAAGGAAGAAAATTAAATACTTACCAGTAAATCTATAGTTTGCCAGAGTCCTGATAAAGATATTTTGGCAGCCCATGAAAATTTTCCGCTACCGGCAGTAGAAAGCAGTTCCAAGGCAGTTTCCAATTGCCCCATAAATAGTCTGCAAGGCTTCTACGTAGTTTCCAGAGAAGAAAACTACAAATTTCACAACGTAACAGGTACCTACCTTAAAACACAGTGCACTAAAATATCGCTAGCTATTCCAAATAAATCATGCTTTATATCGCATCAAATCTTTGCAAAATATAAGTAACAAACCACAGGACTTACCTGTACAAAAATAAGCCGAATCCAATCACTGATAACTTAAATAATTCACTATTTCGAAGAGCTCGAACAAAATCTGTCAAACGAACAGCCATTTTATTTAAATTCTGACTAATTTTCATTTTTGTTTAGATGTAAGAATGCCCCTGAATGATAGGCAACAAATAATATAAGGAAATCTACTCCGGATTGCATAGATAAAATTAATTAATAGAAATTTTTTAATAAGTCCTTATATTATTTGTAAGTTTAGCAGAAAAAGGCAAATTTTGTTGCTAAAAATATTCTTTATTGTGGAAAACATATTCCATTTTAAAAAGGTATTCATAAATTTGAGTTTATAAAGTCTTCAAGTCAAAATAATATAAAAAATTTATATTTTAATATTATAATATTTAATGAAAACTTATTGAGAACCTCTGGAATTGTTTCCTTTATAAAAGTAGTTTTGGCGTAGATAGCGATTTTTTATAACGTTCCTTGTTTTATAGAGAATAGAAAAATTATTACTTCAATTTTGCGTTAACATCAGATCAACTTTTGTCTTCGTTACCGAGGAATGGGTCTTTTATTGTTTAAGTTTCAGGCAAAATTATTGTTGAACAAACAAGTACAGTTATTTTTTCTTCTTAGTTAAAAACTACGTTTTCTTTTTGGGAAGATATATGATTGACGTGTGTGTGTTAG